TTGGTTGATATATAGAATGTATAATTGATATTTCAATTATTATTGATAAAAATAAAAAAATGCTAACTAATAAAAATATAATCTTCTATAAAAAAGAAGCTTCTATTAAAAAAAAAGAAAATGAATAATGTGACTATTTATACTATTTATGAAATTCTTCTTTTAGCTTTACTTCGTCCAGAATCATCATCACTATCTTCTTCTCATTTTCTACGAGCTCTAGCAATCGTATCTGGAATACCAGGTGGTAAATCTGTTCCCGACACTACATTAATTTTAATCCATTCTGCAAATATCACTGCTAAATATTCTTCTGTTTTATTTTTATACTGAAAATAATTATCATCTTCTGAATTATTTGAAATAAAAATATTCTATCTGTTATATAAATTTTTTGCATCATTAATTGTTGTAGTCGCAAGAAAAGAACCGTGTATTTGTTGAAACATCCATCTAGCATAATTTAATCTTTTTACTATTACATCTTCTTCTTTTTTATATGGTATAATCTTATTGATTATTAATATATTTTGAGTATATTGATAAGTTATTTGTGGATTCGTGGAAACTCTTTCTAATATTTTTTAATAATATAATGTCATACGATATAATTGTATCATCTGTTGATAATTATTTGGTAATATACTCCAATCAAAATATTGTATCACTTGATCCCAATTATTTCCATCTTCAAGGTTATTAATATTCATTTCATCTTCCATACTCTTTAATATTCTTATCCACTCATTGTATTTTTCACATTGTCTTTCTCTTGCTAAATCAAAATTTATAGGTTGAATCGTTCCAATAGTAACACCTACCATCTTTTCAACAACATTTAATTCTGGAAATTCTACTTCTATTTTTTCAACATCTGGTTCTTCTTTAATAACAGGTATTTTTGGAATTTTATTTTTTAATAAATCAGGAAAATTATCTGCTATAGAAGATATTACACCAAACAACATCATTTGATATAACTCCAAATCTGAAATTTTATTTTCTTTTATTTCATCAGGTTCTCTGTAACAACAATCTTCATAAGGATTCTGATTATATTTACATTTACATATTTCTTTTGAATTAACATTTAAAGTTAAAAACAATAAAAAAAATATAAAAAATGAATTTCAATTTTTTTTTTTTTTTAATAAATATTAAACTACAATGTTCTTTTTATATCTATCAAGATTATATAATCACATATTTAACAACTATAAATTTTTTTTTTTTTTTTGTTCTTTTAAAACAATCGTTATTTTTTAATATGAGGTAATTTTTCTTTTCTTTTTTTTTATCTGACGTTTTTTTTCTAAAAAATATAATAATTTACAGTAATAATTGGGAACCACCACCTAAAAAAATAATTCACGATTACTATTTCAATCCGTTTAAAAATATTGAAACTTACTGTGATGCTTGTTATTCAACCGAACATTTTTATAAAGATTGTAAATTTAAAGCAAAATATTGTCTCGCTTGTTACTCAACTGAACATTTTTTTAAAGATTGTTTATATAATAAATGTTCTTGGTGTGATAAAAGACATGTTGGATTATGTAAAAGAATGAAATATTGTTTTATTTGTAAAAAAAATAATCACGAATTTATACATTGTTTTTTTAAAAATAATAATAATAATAAAATAAAATAAAATAAAGAAATTACATTTATTTTTTTTTTAATGATTAGGATGAGAATATTTATTAAAACCACATTTACCACATATACTACATTTAACTATTCTTTTTCCTTGTTTTTTGGTTGGTTTTCTGTTTTGTTTATCTTCTCATTTTCTCTTATTCCGACCAACATCAATATGTGTACGTTTGTTAAAACCTAACATTCTAACATTTTCTTTATTACATACTGAACAACTTTTTTGATTTTTGGGTGTTGTTAACAATACACCCACAACATCTTCTGTGAATATATTATTAATGATTAATAAAACAATAAAACAAAATAAATAAATTTTTTTAACTTCCATTTTTTTTTAAAAAAAAAAATAAACTACTGATTTATTTATATTGAATTTAAATTAATTAGAAATAAATGTTGTGACTATTTTTTTTGAACGATTTTTTGCTCTTCCTTGTTTTTTTGGTGTTTTCACGGACGTTTCTTTTGGTTTATGCACACTTTCATATGTATTTCCATAATGTACATATATCCCACCCCTATAATTTTTTGTAACTTGTCTATTTTTGTTAAGAATCATCTTGTATTATTCTGTTTTAAAATCCCACGTATATAATTTTGGAAGTTCAACCCCAACAATAACATCATCATCTTGCGCCAATACTCTCAATGATAAAAATAAAAT